CTTGAACACAGCAGGGACAAACAGCACCAGGAACATTGCTTACTCACGATTTCTCAGCCTACCTTTCCAGGCAGAGCTACGGCACCAGGAGATTGCTGTCTCGGCTCGCTCGGCAGGGCCGCCCTCCAAACTCTTGCCGCTTTGCCGCACGCAGGGTGCGGGGGGCTCCCTGCCCAGTTGCTGAGTGCACCGGGGCAGAGGGCTGCGGCGGGCCGGGACTGGGTTTCACTGACCGCCAGGCAAGGATGTCATGAATGGCAGCTGGGTGCGCGGGAATATTATTAGTTCATAAGTAAATTTTTAACTTAAGAAGCTGTCTGTGTGCTCCGGGAAATTATTTTATCGTGAGACAGTCTATAATCGTGCAGGTGCAGACCTTGCCAGGCGTGTCCAAAAATACTTCGCCACGAAACGTGGAGAAGGGGGAGACACGGAACCGCTGCACGTGACAGACCAAGGCAGCAACCTCTGCCCACGGGAGTGCGCTGGCTCGGGGCCATACGCGCTCCCGCCTTGCCACAGGGTCACTCATGTGACAACCTCTGTCTGTCCATCAGTCCATCTGCCCATCTGCCATTCTGCCAAATCCTGCCTTTCCCTCCAGCACCACTGAATACTCGCTCCCCAGCAAAGCCCCTGCCCAGCCATGCCCTGCGGGTCACAGAGCGCCCGCAGCTGGGCTCAGCCCGCTGCAGAGCTGGTGTTTCACAGGGGCCGAGACACCACTGTGCTGGAGGAAGATGAAGGTCCCTCCTCCTCTGAATCCCCTCGGGGGTGTGGATTGCAAGTCAGCATTGGAGCATTGGAAAACAAGGGAGAGGGGTGAGGGGCTTGTGCCGTTCCTTCCCTACCAGCTGCGCTCCCTTCACAAGCAGGTGATTTTTGTGCCCACTCATCCCACGGACTCATCCTGGCTCAATGCACAAGCCGTTCCTTCTCCTTAGTGCATCATCAACAACAACACAGGCCCCGCGAGCCAAATTAGCCTCTTAACGACGGCTGGGTCACTGCCCTGGCGTCAGCCCATCCGCACTCGTGCGGGTGGTGGGCACGTGGCGAGCGCGGCTCGTGGCACGCGGGCAGGGGCAGGAGCGGGCGCTCCCTCCCCGCTCTGCTCCCCCGGCGGGAAAGGCGTTTCCGTGAGAGAGCGAGGGATGCTAAAGGCTGGCGCGGGGCAGAGGAACCTCATTTCCCACCGCCAAGCGAGTGCGCGCCCAGGGGAGCAAGCGAACCCATAGGAAGCCGCCACCGTGATCTCGCCTCCCCCAGAGCGTTCACAGCTGCTGCTGGCGAGTAGCAAACCTTCCTGTTGTATTCTTTAAATCAAGTAACGCTAATTGGACCAAACCGTACAGATCTGCATGACAATCACTGCATTAAGTGCAATGTGCCTGAAACAGAGTTTTATGCTGAAAAATACAGCAATTGCACTGAGTGACTTCGGCATTTCAAGGCTGCAGGAGGAAGGTGTGTGTGTATCCCTAAGGAAAGCTTTTCCTGTGCGCTCTAAAAGGAAAGAGAGACTCGAGATTCTTATTCTTCAGGAGTGCTGGGGAGCGTCAGTAATAAGTCATCTTTGGCAGGCATACGTTAACAGCATCCAGGGAGGGGAGAACTTCATCAGAGCAGAGAAATCATTCCAGCCTGACTTTGGTATAACTCCAGCAAGTCTGAAATATCTGTAAGGGCTCTTCTCCCACCCCTCCGCAGATCCAGCCTGACCCCGTCTTGGGCAAGATATGCAATTTACACTTTTCTGTACCACTGGTTTGTAATGCTTATTTGCTTTTACACAGTGTTTTGCAATTTTAAGAGTTTGGACGTGTATTTGCCCAGAAAAAGGCTGCCTCAGTTACAGCAATTACCTTCCCCACCCCGTTAGTGAAACAGGACCTGGTTGCTGCCTGGATGCTGTGCTGCAAGCGGGCCACACACAGTATGTTTTTAACTAGGGCTGCACCTTTGAATGGATCACAACCATGCTTTGATTTTCTTTCATTTATTTTTAGTGCTTATTAACCAGCTAAATGGCAAGGAAGAAAACCACCATGCATGAAGGGTAAAGGCACCTGGATGGAGGAGGCCTTGCAAATCACTTTGAAAGAAGCTGAAGCCATCGTTAAGTGCCAGTCCAAAAGACGGGGGGACGCTGCAGCAGGAGGGGAGGTGGGCAGGAGCAGGGTGGCGAGCCCGGCAGCCCCATCACCCAGCCTGGCGCGACACCTCACAGCCCGGGGCGCAGAAGACCTGCCTGCCGCAGCCGCGCGCCCAGCCACTGTCGGGATTTTGTGCTCCTTCTGGGCTAACTCTGGCCTGCCGGTTGCCCCCGTGTCGCGAGCCTGGCACTCGGCCCAGGGCCCCGGCAACACGGGCACAGCCAGTGACCAGGCGAAGGCACGACAGCAGGGGACCAGCGCCTGAACCAGGGGCACGGGGGGCATCAGCTCCGCCGGGGGAGGCAGCCCAGGCTGCTCAGCCATCCCCGGCCGGGCACAGAGGGGCGGTCAGGCCAGCGTGCTGGGCGCAGGAGCCCAGCAGCACCCAAGGGTGCCCGGCCCCCCACCCCGGATCTGAATGGTTCAGTGTGCAAAGTCCACGGCCGACCAGGCCCCGCCATGTTCACACAGCTCCAATTACAAAAGTTGTCAAAGCTAAAAAAAGAAAATAATAAAAACCTCTGTAGGCAATTAAGGTTGCCCAGAGGCTGTAACGAGCGTGCTGGCTGCTTCTGCACTCCCCGTGCTTCTCCGCAGTTGACTGCTAGGACGAGCATTTGCCCTAACAGCCAGGGGACCTGCGACGGCGATCACATAAATCAGAGAGAAGTGATCCAAGACTGCAGCAGATCAAAAGCATTGGCTGACAAAATCTGCACTGAAATCAGACGTGTTTATTGGTTCAGTTCACCATGGCAATTAATTATCTAGCACTTATCTAATTAACCAGAGCTTTCATCTACCGTTCCCAGAGGCCAATAGCAAATGCCAGATTCTGCCCCTCCAGCCGCTGCCTAAAATATCTTCCTGGGCAACGTCTCACATCGTGTCAGGACAGGCAGCAGGACCAGTATCTCCAGTCTTCTCCCACTCCTAAAGCACAGGACGCTTGCGCACATCTGTCTCAAAAGGCAGCTCGTTGCTGATGAAATGAGCCCGAGAAGCACCGAGGCAGAGACCGAGCAGCCGCAGCTTTGCTGGGCATCCTGCAGCTCAGGCTGCGAGCAGGGGGACCTGGCCTGGCCGGTGCAGGGTTGCCTCCGTGCTGCCCTTTGGTCTGAGCCGCGAGCAGGGGCTGCGGTGGCTGCCCTGGCACTGCTGCCTGCTCCCCAGGCCCCGTCCAGCACCCCAAGGCTTGCTCCATGTCCCACCGCGTGCTCCGTGGCCCTGGGGACAGCAGGCAGTGCTGCGTGCCCCGCGGAACACAGCTATCGCCCGGGCCCGCCACGCGTGAGGACGGTCACCGAGTGCTGCTGTGACACCCGCAGCTGCCATCGGGTGCCGAGGTGCGACGGGCTGCTGTGCAAAGTCCCTTGTGTCCTTAGGAGGGGTCTGAGAAGTGACCCTGCATGGGGCACAGCGGCACCAAAGGTGGCTCCTGAACGGAGGGAGCGGAGGGAAGGCTGTGCTGGAGAGACGCCCCAGGGAGGGCAGCACGCACACCTCCCACAGCCCCAGAGCGCCAGCCGGCCTCCCCGGGAGCAGGGCAAGCCTGCTGCTGGCACCCCTGACCGCAAACGGGCCTGAAGGGCTCCTGGGCTGAGGCGGAGTCGGGTGCGGACAAAAATCATTGTCTGGACATTGCTGAGAATAAAATCAGCCTCTCCAGGCCAGGATCAGTCGCTCCAGGATCCGTTTCTGAGCAGCAGTGGCCTACCTCTGTCCGTCGCCATACCTGGGCACCGCTGCGATAATCAGCGGTGCTGCCATCTGGGGAGCTCAGCCAACGCGCGAAACAGATCTATTGCAGGTCACTGTTTTGTATGAAGAGCCGTGAGCGTGAAGACGGGGCTTAGCGGGAATAGGGACATTGATCTTTTGGCTTTTTGACGCTTACCTTGTGAGTGTTTTCCTTCTCAGACAGTTTTCTGGGCCACTCAGGAGGACCACGACGGTTCAAAATGTAAAAGGCGTCCCAGTCTCTAGCGACCCGACACTCTGATAGACTGGCCAGGGCTGGGGAGCCAAGCGTGCCAGGCCCCGACCCTGGAGCCAGTCCCCGCACCAAGCCCCGTCCCCCCCCGGGAGCGCGTCCCCTCCGAGCGCCCTGGCAGGCTGTCGCCACCAGGACGGACACCTGGGACCTGCAGGCACCAGCGAGCACCAGGCACAAGGCAGCCGCTCCACCGGCACGGGTTGATCGGCACCCACAGGGGACCCACAAAACAGCCCGGGCTGCTGCAGCTACAAGCTGTGGTGCCGAGCTGGGGGCTGTGGCACCGCCGCTCCTAATGCATCGCTGCCCCTTCGCAGAGCCCGCAGAGGTTCACTACAGCATTAACTCTTTCTTTGTGCGCCTGAGAAAAACACAGGGTGGTTTCAGATTTCCACCAAACAGGGCCAGAGAAAGGCACGGTCCAAAGCCAGTGTCCAGGGCGGGAGTGCTGTTTCGACCCCCGGGGCCCAGGGGAGGAGCGCCGCCGCAGCCGACTCAGACAAACCAAGCAGGTCACCGGCCCCGGCCCTCGCTGCCCGAGTACGGCGGTGGAAGGCGACTCGAGGTTAACAGCGACGCACCTGCAAAAACAGCCAATCTGGGACGAACCACGGCGCGGCCCCGAGGAGGAACCTCTCGCACCTGATGGGGCAAGGGGAGCGGGCGGAGGGGCAATGGCCACTGTTGATCTTGGGAGCCGAACAAAGCAGAGAGAGGGTATTTAACCCCCTGCAGAGCCCCTTAAAACCTCTTCTGAGCTCCAAAACCCAACAGCTGAAGAAATAGCAGGGTATTTTCCTTACCCTTTCTGCAGAGTATCACTTTCAGCTGACTCTGGTAGAGCTGCTATGACCGAAACAACAGGTTACTCCGGGTGAGTAACAGGAGGGTTTGAATTTGTTTTAATAAGGCAAGAAAAATGTTCTCTGGGTTTTGTTTAAGCCTTATTTATAAAATTGACCTGTATTGTTACTTAGTTGCTTTCCATTTATTAAAGCAGGTGGAAAGGGAAGGCAAACTGGCCTCCCGCTGTCTGCAGAATCTGAATTTAATTTGCACTTGTGCTGCTAGGCAATTATTTGTCACAATATAAATATAAAATCCCAATTTGCTAAGAGCTTAATAAGCTGTCACATACAAAATAGCACAGTGCATTACCTGCTAGATATTTCTGGCAGAATTATATGAAAGAAAGAGCTAAGGTTACCATTGACAAAATTGATGATAAATATCGAGAAACACTTTTTGCCAAACACGCAGATGTAACGAGAGGGATGTCGAAGAGGTTACCGATCGCGAGGGATGTCAGGAGGAGGAGGCCAGCCTGCCCTGTCCCCGTCCCTGCGGGCACTGCCCGCTGCCCCTGACCCGTCCTCACCCCGTCTCCCTGCAGCAGTGGGCTTGTCCACCTTAAAAACCCACACTTGGACTCGATGGAGGAGGACGTTCTGTATCACTTGGACTTGGGGACGAAGACGCACAACCTGCCGGCAATGTTTGGGGACATAAAGGTAAATGGCAGGTGCAGAAGTGAGGCAGCAGCTCCCAGCCCTGCAGGGCTCTCCAGCCCCTCGCCCTGCGGCTCTGCTCTCTCCTGCTGGGGCCCCGCTGCTGCGGATGCTCCTGCCGGGGACGGGGCCCGGCCGCTCGGTAAAGGGACTCAGCGACCCGGGGCAGCCCAGGCAGGGAGGTCATCCATCCTTGCTTGTTTTGGGCAGAAATCCCAATAGAAAATTATCCTTTTAAAAACCTGTAGCTCCATAAAACCTGATTTTATATTGGCCCCCATGTTAGAGGACAGACGGAGGAAGCATTTGTCTAAAGCATCTGATCATCACCTACTGGAGACAAGGGAAAG